TTCTTAATCATTCTCTGCTTGTATTAAATTATTCTGGGCACGTCTCCTTTATGTGAGTATGTATGTAGGTTCACAGATTTGGAATGGAGAGCATCGGAGTCTTTTGTCAGCAAGTTATAAATATGCAAAGACCTTGACTGTTACATTTCTTCTTAACTATATGATGTATGTGTTTAATTATGCTGCAGGGATGTGTGGACTTAAAGAATGAAAAACAGCAGACAGGATGTTGATAAATTTGCCCCTATGTAAACTAACTAAATCACATAGTTCTTAGAAGTTCACTATAGAAGCTAAACTACACTGTATGTGCAATAATAATCAACATTAAAAGGTGAATATACAGTCTTTGTGCAGTACTGTGAAGAACTCAGTACACCTATACTACTTCTAATAAGAAGTAGCTAGGTGCTGCTAATCATATATACTTGATTAATTGAGAATCTCTATAAAAGCAGAACATTTAGCACGTTGTTGGAGAAAGGAGAGAAAGCCTCTTCCCCTTGAAAAAGAATGTGACAGCACAGCTTTAGTTTAAAATGCTGCACCTGAACGAACCACAAGCCCTCTGGAAAAATGTCCAGGCGAAACCAAAGTGCAGATGTTTGGCAATAATGCACAGCACCGTGTTTGAAAAAAACAAACAAAAACAAATGCAGGATATCACCGCAAACACGTCATACTAGCTGTTGAGCACGGTGGTGGAGTGGTGATGATTTGGGCTGGTTTCATAGTAGGGCTGGGTATCGTCACGGATTTCTAGAATCGCTTCGATTCAGATTCGCAAGGTCCCGAATCGATTCGATCCACGATTCGATTCGATTTAAATCTGGGAAATTTTGCCTCAGACAGTCAGAAATATTATAATTCAGATCAGTACATTTACATACTTTTGTATCTATAAAAAGGAAGCTGACACTCGCAAGACTTTATCAAAGGTGTGAGCATCACAGCAGAGGCCTTTGTGTCAAAGTAGCTGAAGATAAAACACAGAAAAACATGAAGGGGATTTTCCTGGCCTGGGATTTTATAAAAATATTCAGCAGTACATCAAAAACAAAAGAAAACCATTAATCAACTTATGAACATTACTTCTGAAGTTACAGCGGTTTTATTAGAGACACGGCTAAGCGTTTTGCATTTTGCATCATTTTAAAAAGTTTAAATTTGTTCAGAAGCCTATTGAACCGCAGAAATGAGGCTTTCTTTTCGGAAGTAAGTAAAAGGGAAAAAACAGCGGCCGACAGCGCTGTAAACAACAGTAGACTTGTGCGTAACAAGCAAGCGAATAATACAGAAAACAGATTTTTAGATGGGAAACTGTTCTTGAAGTATACTAAGAGACAGAGAGAGAGAGAGAGAGAGCTGTGCGTGAAGTGTGGTGGAAGCAAAACAGCAAACGTCAGAGGGAATTCATGACGATGTTTTTGTGAAGCGTAGTTTGGATCTTTTTTTGCTGCTGGTTCGGTCAATAATGTTTGGAGAGACATCAAACTAACAGCTTCAGAACCAGCGCAAAAAAAGGCATAAACACAAAGCGCGGACCTGCCGAAACATCAGAATCAGCGAGCTGTCGGCTTCCAGCCCCGACCGTGTCCGTGCCGTCAAGTGAGAAAGGCGACATCTCACTGATTCTGATCCGTCGGCGGGTCCGCGCTTTGTGTTTTTACGATTTTGTGCAGAATCCTTGTACCTGCTCTCATTTACTGTTTTAGCTGTTTGGTGGTTCTTGAAATTTTGTGAGGTTTAACCTGAGATTCTGGCGTTTCGGGCAAAATAAATTAATATTAAAAAATCGATTCAGGATTTTAATGAATCGATATCACGTTATCCAAGCCAGAATCGATTTTAATCGATAAATCGATTATCAAAACCCACCCCTATTTCATAGCTACCTGGCACCTGGGTGCCTCGGAGACACTGAGTCAACCACGAACTCTTCTGTGTACCAAAATATTCTAAAGTCAAATGTGATGCACTTGTCTAAAGCTTGGCCCAAACTGGGTCATGCAACAGGGCAATGCACTGCAGCAAATCTACAGTAAAGTCATTGAAAAGAAAAGAATCTGTCATAGACAAAAATTTGCATATGTTCAAATTAACGAAACATACAGTCCTAAACCCTGTTTAGGACAACAACAAACAATGAGTGACTTTTTTCTGTATAGTCCTTAGTTATGACAAGTTAAGAATACCTTCATCTAGTGGGATGTTTTGAAAAAAATAGTGTTTTTATGTACAGATTGTGATGATTTGTAATTTTGGGTGTTTATAAGTTATTAACCTTTGTTTGCAAATCTTGGGAAAAACATCAGGTTGGATTGTTTATGGTGCTACTGTGGCTCTGGTTTCTTGTTATTTAGGTTTCCATGTCACAATAATAAAATTAACAAAATGAATTGTGCATGCTGACGTATGTATACAAGTATAAAAGGTTAAATTTTATTGCAATTTAGAACACAAAAAAAAATCATTTATGCTTTAAAAGGTTTATTTTTAATCTTCTTTGATTATGTTTTAGCCTATTTGGTGGACAGTGCAGAGGTTAGACAGGAAGGGGGTGAGAGAGTGAGGGCGAATGACACATGGGAAATCTTCTGTCTCGAATTGCCATAAGGTCCCTAGCCTTTAGTGTCCGGGTCGCTAGCTCAACCAGGTGAGTTACAGTGGCGCCCCAGTTTGTGAAGCACATTGTAACTGTGTGTTTTAAAAGTACTGTACGAACAAAGTTCTTGTTAGAATGATTACATATTTTGAGCACACAGTAAATTATAATGTCACACGCACCTTAAATGAGCACATGCGGCTCATATCTTCCTGTACGATCCCTGAATCCAGCCAATTATCCGACATTTGATCCGGATATTCCTTCCATCTTTGAAAGTTCCTTCATCCCTTCATGTTTTTACCTCTTTCCATTTGCCCTCGGCTCTTCCTGCACAGCAGAGAAGAGAAGAGCAGAGATCATTGACGCCTCAAGTCTGGATGTGTCTGTGAGAGAGCAAGAGAGAGGAAGAACGTCTGCTTTATGCCGAACGAGGACGTGAATGATGACACGTGTCAAGTGTGCCGCATTATGAACGTGACTTTGTGGTGTGTGACTGCATCGCTGTGTGTGTTATAGCCTGCCTTCAGTCTGACACTTTGCAGCTCTCGAAGTGAGAGAAAAAATGTGTTTGCCTGGATACTTCATTTAACAGCTGCCATTTCTACTCCCACACAGCTATCACATTGGCAGCGCGCAGACACACACACTGCCATTCGCAGAGCTGTTAGCCGAAGTGTTGGAGAGTGATGGGCGCTCAGTGGAAGCTGTGTTGAGGTCTAATGATTCAGGACAATTTATTGTTCCCATAAAGTGTTATAGAGCTCTCTGAAGCACCTTTACTTTTCAAGCCAATTCCTAGCTGCTTGTTTGAGTCTCTTCTTTCAGACTTTGTTGTCATCTCCACAAAATCAGCCTAAACCTAACACACAACATTTGGGGGAATTAGCTGAATTCTAGTTCCTTATTTTCCCAGAGCATACCTGTTAGATTTATTTGATACCCTCCAGGCAATCCATAATTTCAGTTCAGTCAAGACCCCTGTAGACAAAAGAAGATTAATATTTATGACTGGAGTAATTCATTTTTTGGCAGCTCCGTTCTGGGACCTTGCCACCCTTCATTATGGAGACAGTAAAAACTGGTGATGGGGAGGGCATCAGCAGGAGCACAGAGAAGATCAAGCATCATTGACAGCAGATTTCAGATTAAGTCAGATAAAGCGTGAAAGGAGGAGCTGGGGTTATTTATATAGCACCAATTCACAACAACAGTCCCCTCAATGTGTTTTATATTGTAAGGTAAAGACGCTACAATATTAGATAGAAACCCCAACAATCACATGACCCCCATTGAGCAAGCGCTTGGCGACAGAGGGAAGGAAAAACATCCGACAGAAACAGGCTCAGGGAGAGGCAACGTTCTGCCACGACCGGATGGGGGTGAGGGGAGGAAGAGAGGACAAAGGACACACTGTGAGAGAGTGATAGAGATGAATAAGAACTAATGATTAACTACAGTAGTGGTGTATGAATACACAGAGATGAGTGAAGAAGAAAAGCTCAGTGCGAGGAGCCTGATTCAAAGTAGAGGGGCCTGATTCTAGAGTACAGGAGCAGTCTGAGACCAAAGTGATCTTTTAGGATAATATGGTGCTACAAGGTCTTTAAAATATGATACGGGCCTGATTGTTCAAGATTTTATATGTAAGGAGAAGGATTTTAACATCAGTTCTGGATTTAACAGGGCGACGATGCTAATTTGGGAGGAATGTGCTGTTTCTAGTCTCTGTCAGTACTCTCACTGCAGCACTCTTGATTGACTAAAGGGAGGGACTCCCCCAGGGAGTTTTTAGAGAAACCTGGCAGAAGTGGTTTGCAAAGTGGCTTCCACACTAAAGCAGTAGGCCCTATATTAAATTTGCCACCTGAATCTATATGAGGGTATCAGCTGACATGAGTGGGCGTTAAAATTATTTTATCTGTGGTCACTGCTGGGCTTGACTGCATGCCCTGATTGAACTAACGCTGTGCTCAATTTCTTGTCAGCACAGCACATAAATCAGTTTGAGAGTTGACACTTAATCAATATAGGCAATCCCCCAGTTCCAATGATTTATGGTTATTCACTCACAAGAAAGAAGTTTGAGGAGGTTCCCACTGTTTTCCAAAAATCTAATTTCCATCTTACAAATGGCGGTAAAAGTGCTGAAATGGAGCGTCCTCTGATCTAAGCTACCTGTCAGTAACGCTGCTGCTGAAGGGTCTTTATTGAGCTCACTAAGATTTACTTGATTCCTCTGTCACACTGTTTTACGCTCAGGTTTTCTGGAACTTCGCAGTTCACAGATTGAATTTGTGTATTTTTCCGCACAGGTTTTGTGAATCACACTGGATGATTAATAAAGCGCCTGAAACATAAACGCATATGTGTTTCATTTTGTGCTGTGCTATAGGCAGGAGTGTAAGAAGCTACGTGAGGAGCTGAAAGAGGAGCACGAGGAGGACAAAAACTCAGCCTTGGCTCAGCTGGCGCAAAGCAAGGAGCAGGAACTGAGCAATGCCAGGGAGAGCTGGCAAAGGAAAGTGGAGGACCTGCTAGAACAGGTGAGGCTCTTCCCAATGGGAGCACAAACAGTGCCGCCCATCCTTCTGTTCACTTTACTGTCTCTGTGCAAAACACTAAAAGGGCACATATTGAAATGTTAAGTGAATGTTGGTGTTTATGTTGTGTTTTGGGAATTTTGTAAGTAAATATTGGTAGATTTTGAAAGACTACTGTGACTTAGTAAGCTCATAAATAGGTGTGAATTAAAAAGCTGCAGTGATGAGCAGACACACATTGAATACAAAGAAAAATCAAAACACATGAGAATAACATGAGAAAACAAACCAGTACTAAGGCAGGACACAAACAGGAAAACAGGACAATAAACAGATGATAAAACAAAGACAAAAGCAGAGATGTGACTTTGGTTGTGGTCAAATAGTCATTTGTACTTAAGAGGGCTTCTGATTAAATCATCTGCATGGCAGCTGTAATAAGAGCTGGTCAAATTCTCAAGTTGCAAAGAAAAGGTGCTTCAGTGCATGCTTCCTTACCTCCTTTAGCAGATGATACACTTCCCAACTCTAAGAAAATAAGGCCTTCCCAGGGTTCATAGCAGCACACCATTCAAACGTTCACAAACCAAAATGATCAACATACCTGACAAGTGAAACAGATGATGTAAATTACCGCCTGTGCCGTAATGATTTAATATGCCGATATGTTTTGAATCTTAACAGTTTGCCAAGCTCACTGTATAAATAAAGATAATTTTCCCTATTTCAAAGTTCAAAGAGAGGTGAATGTTGTTGTGTAACTCATTTTGCTGTGCTTTTGTTCTCATTTTCGGGGTTGCTGTACTTCCAGTTTTTGGGATTACCTTTAATTAGTTTCATGTCGGAGATTCTAAAAGCTTTAATAAAGGAAGCGTTTAAGTAGATGAGTGGACAACATGAGTGGACAGCATGGTGAGCCACATTTCTTATTCAAACCATTTTATTTCATTGTGACTGCAAAGTTTCTCACTTTTTCCCACTTGGTAATGGAAACATTATTCACATCAATGTCTAAGTTCATATAGCCTGCATAAAGAAAAATAATAAGAACAGATAAGGCTGTACTACTTCTGTAGTATCACCAGGGCTGACTCACATCACCCACCACATTATTAAGCACCCTAATGAAAGTGGTGTGAGCTGTGTGGGCCACTTTTGAAGAGGTCGTCTTCACACAGGTACTTCACCTCAAAGCTTTTGACACTGAAGTCAAGGAAAAGTAATTAGAGATAAACATGTGAGGTAATTGTGTTGGTTATGTGACTGCAACCTGAAAGTACACCAAGCTGTAGATAATTAGAGGGGAGAAGTCGATAAAGAAGAAAAAGGAGGGAAAACACACTACTGCTCATTATTGCTAATATTTTATTAACCAATCACATGTAACCAACTCAATGCATTTATGCATGTAGACATGGTCACGATGACCTGAACAGGAAACTAAAGCCACAATTTTCACACGCTCACCAAAATTAGACAGAACTGAAGATTGGGAAAAGTGGTCTAATGAGTCTCGATTTCTTCTGCAATATTCAGATGGCAGGTTCAGAATTTTTCTGCCTTGTATTAAAGGTTCAGGCTGGTGGTGGTGTAATAGTGTGAAGAATATATTTTTGGGCACACTTTGGATTCCTCAGTACCAAATGAGCATTGTTTAAATGCCATCCTACCTGAGTATTGTTGCTGATCATGTCCATCCCTTTTTGACCACTAAAATTATGTCATATTGGTTTCTTGACCATGACAAGGAGTTTACTCCAGTGGCCTCAACCAATCCAAAAGGAGCAACTTTGAGATGTGATCTCATAAAATCTCCCAAAATCTCTGAGGAATGTTTTCAGCACCTTGTTGAATCTCTGCCATCAAGAATTAAAGGCAAAGGTAAAAGAGGGTCCACCCCAGTAGTAACAAGGTGTGATAAATAAAGTGTCCAGTGAGTGTAGACACAAACAAAGGCATTGCTGAGGAAGGATATATTTTAAATAAAAACAGGAACAGCAAGAAACTAACAGCTTTTATTAACACAAGAAATCACATAGCATCTGTACACCAAGTGTGTCTGTAAAGTACTGTTACGCAACAATACTGGTTAAAGATTTAAAGGTTTAATCTTCAACTTACAATCAACAGACCTTTTTGAACACAAAATGCCCACAGCCTGGAGTCAAGTGGTTGTAATTATACCAGTGGTGAGAAAATCAATATGATGGGCGAAACATTATTGAAGCAATAAGAGCTACCTCTCTTCTAGGTGTATGTTGTGCCTGTGATGGCTTGTCTGTGCCAGACTCACAGATTTCCTCCTAACACTGGCACACAGATTCACGTATTCATTATGTGTTAGTGTTTAACGCACACCAGAGCCGGCTGCTGTAGCTAATGACTGCACAGTAATATTAATGTGGCATGACTAAGCTCTCCTGTGGTCATCGTACGTGCAGAATCAACAGCTTTATTTCTGTTTGTTTGTGCATGTCTCTTGCATTAATTGCTGGTCTTCAACATGCCCACCCTGTCATCGGTGATTAATGTGGCAGCTCCGCACCTCACAATCAGCTAAACCATATTTATTTACTCCAATGCCAAATCAGAGCAGCAGTCAGGCTCTTGACAAATACGCACTGATGGAGAAGAGGCTGTTTAGAAATCAAATGGCAGATGTCAGTGCCAGTAAGGCCTTGATGCACAGCATGCTCCAAAGTGTGTTTTCAAAAGGCACAAGCATTGAAAATATTAGTGTCGTTGTAAATAACGCCTAATGTGAATGATATATGCGGGTAATTTTGCACTCAAACGCAGAGTTGGTAAAGCTTGAAAACCTCCGCTTTGAATCTCAGTGAAAAACCAAATTAAAAAGGGTCAGTGGCATCCACACCATCACTGTCACAATATCAGATTTTCACTTCATGATTATCAACTTCAGGATTAACAAGAAGAAGAATTTGGCTGCATGTGAATTTCATCTTTGACTTATGTTCACTGTTTTTTTTTGTTTCATTTTTGGCAAATAAAATGCACCAAAGTAAGATAATATTGAGGGGGAAATGTTATAATATTATGTCTAATATTATCATATACACTATAGCTCATGGCTGTATGACTGTACCTCAGGAGGTAAAGCAGGTCATCTGTTGGTGGTTCGATCCCTGGCTCCCACTAGTCTGCATGCCAAATATCCTTGATAAGATATTAACCCCAAGTTGCTCTCCAATGCATCCATCGGAGTATGAGTGTGAATGGTAGTTAGAAAGCACTTAAAAGCATAGAAGACAGTGAATGGGTGAATGTGCCATGTTGTGTAGAGCTCTTTGAATACTCTGGGAGAGTAGAAAATATAAGAATCAGTCCATTTACCATTAAATAATACAGGGCTACACGTCTGAAACTTTGAATACAGTAAAGAACATAATAACAGCAGACTAGAAGCGAGCAGATGAGTGAAAACAGATCTTCCTTATTGAACTCATGCAAAAGCTTAATCAGTGTGGTTTTTAAGCCCAACCTCCATTATATGTGTCTGACAACTGTGAGCAAGAAATTTCTCAAAAATGCCAGCTATAGCAAAAATGATACAAAATTAATATATGTAAGTTGTCAAATCTGTATTTCACTGTTTTACAAATCTTTTAGTAAATTTTATCAACAGCTCTCTCCAGTTTGGCTTTTTCCCTGTTTCTTTTAAATGTGCTGTAATCACACTGTCACCCAATAAAACTAACTTAAATCTATTAGTAATTAATAATTGTACCATATCATAATCTAACTAAAGGCTTCATGACTCAGTAGGTTTAACAGGTCAGACACATTATTGCTTCTAATCGTATCTAAAGGGTCGAAGTTTTTTTATGTTTCAATTAGCAGTTTTAGATCCATTCAAATGCAAAATTCAATTGGGGGTTCCTCAAGGGTCAGTCCTTGGTCCATTACTGTTCAACTTTTACGTGCTCCCACTTGGTACTGTCATAATATAGCCTCATATTCTTATAGCAATGACACGCAGTTGTACTTACCACTTCCCTCTTATGATCTAACCTCTGGTCATAAACCAATAAGCTGCATTGATGACTTGAAGTCCTGAATGTCTCAAAACTTTTTAGAACTGAACAGAGACAGGACAGAAATACTTGTAGTCCAAAATGTGTTCATATTTATCATCCATTTCTCTAAAACACAGTGATCAAGTCACAAACCTTGGTGTCATTTTAAAAAGTGACCTCAGTTTTGATAACCACATCATTATAATTACCAGAACTGCTTTCTACAACTTAAAATGTATCTAAGATTAGAAAAATCTTCTCTAAAACTGACTCTGAGAAATTCGTTCATGCATTCAAATCAAGTAGGTTATATTATTGCAACGCTCTATTTGCAGGATTTCCCAAATGATCAACATCATCGGCATCTTCAGCTTGTCCAAAATGCAGCAGCCAGAATCCTTATAGGTCACTGTTTTACCCGCAATTTACCTGCATTACCCCAGTAATGAAATGACTTCAATGGCTCTCAGCGCAATATAAAATGTTGATTAAATTGAGATCAACTAAATCTGTGTGTCAAACAGACTCCAAACCCTTCTATTCACAAAGGCCTACACTTAATATTTTTTGTTGTTGTTGTTTGTTCTGTTTTGCAGTTTTCACTCCCTTAAGGCATTGTAAACTTTATTTTGGGGGGGAGGGGTTCATGTCTTAATATTTTGTATTAAGCAGATTTAGTTTTCATATAATGAAATGAGCTAAATAAATTAAATTTGTCTTTGTTTTCTAGTGTATGGTTCTAGCTTTACATGATTTATGGGAGAAACCCAAAAACCCCAAAAAGTTACTACTTAGAGAGGTCGGCACTGCTGACTTTATAATTGCAAGACATGCAAAATCACTGCCATCAGTCCAGGATTTACTCTCACTGTTGGCAATTTGTGATGACCTTCTTTTTTTACAGCTGGCACAAAACACAGTGAAACGAGGCACAGAAAGCTTAAAATGCCTGACATGACGTGCAAAATGTCCCTAAAGTGATGGGCTGTCATTATAAAAGTGGCATTTCATGTTGGTTACATAATCACCAGGTGATAATTCAACTATTCAAAATTGCAGCAACAAAACACAAAACCTTTTACTCTTAGTAGATAAAACAAAAGACTTTCCACTCTCAGTTTAGTAAATCAGGCCCCTGTTTTAACCTTAGTGGATATCAATGTTTGAAACAAGGATGCCAATGTGTATAAATGTAGGGAATGTGGAAACTGTTTAATACATTATGCAAGTTTTCACCTATTATACAAAAACCCTCCCCACTAAGTCCACAATTTGCAAGCTATATGAGCAAGTCAATTTTAGATAATACAGGATCAGTGTGCAGCATATATAATCATATGTGCCTGCTAATAAAGATTTGCCACCATGCAAAAAAATGTGTGACTCATGTCTGAGTGATAATGTAATTTCCAAATTAGTGAAGCAGTTCCTGCGGCAAAGCTACTCTATTTAGATCACAGAGAGTCTTTCCTGTTGTGTTTACTATCTCAGAAACGATGATCTGCAAGTGGCTGCACAAGATGATGGATTTATCAACAACTTTCTCCGATTATGTTTGACAGTATTGTTGTATTTTTAATTAAAAGCTCAAAGCCGGATAATTCGTTCAGCTTTCACAGTCCATAGAGCGGAGTTGCACATTCAGGGTACAAATGCTCCTGTTTGTCTGTGAGATCTTTACCCTGAAACTTGTGTAAAGAGGTGTAGGGGTGTGATCACAATATTCTGAGAATGAGTCCATGAAAGTCAGAAGTCTTAACTGATTTTCATTTCACTATCACCAAAGCTACAATAATAGAAATTCAACAATGACCCCCTACATGAAATTTAGGTCAAGAAGAGGAAGAGAAGTTGTGTGTGTGCAAGAAGCACACCATCAGAGCACAACTTTCAGGGAGTAATATAGAAACCGCAGACCCACTACAAGCTGTCTGTGAGTGCATAAGAAGACGATCTTAAGGGTGAGACTGGCTAAATTAAAATCAGCATTTTTGAATTTATAAAGCCTTTCTAAAAGATTTTCTGATCACATTCCAAACATCTGCTTTGTGAATGGATGGTTGCTTCTGTTTTAAGAACTGGGTTATTTTAAGTGATTTTATTGGCTCAGCCTACTTGACATTAAATTGTGTAGTAAGTAACTTATGGGCCCGTGACCTTAAATGAGTTTGATGCCCCTAAAGTTTACTGTCGATCTTCTTCATCGGGATTTCTGATTAGAATGTGTTTTTTGACCTGGCAGCAGTTGCATACAGTGCTGCCAGAGCAGCTTTTGCAAGGTCGTACTTATCTCAACACTTGAATTCAAAATCCTAAGCTGTCTAGACAGGTTAATTTTGTGAGTCACACTGCTGCCTGCTTTTAGTGCTATGTTCACAGCAAAAAGCTCTTTTGCTGGAGGTCTTGAGCGTATATATTTGTTTAAGGCAAATTGATTGCCAACCCCAACCTTCTACCTTTTTGTTATTCTGCCATGTAAAAATGCAGTTCCCTTGAGACAGCCTGAACTTGCACTTCCTGGACCACCTACCTGATTTCTATCCAACTAATTATGTATGCAGAGGTCTAGAGGCAGCGGCTTCTTCAACTTTCTCACTGACAATCACTGCAATATGTATTGTTCTTATTATTGTGCAGATATCCTTGTTGAAGCAAAGTCTGGAGATGCAGCTGTCCCAGTCGCAGTCGTCGCTGCAGCAGCTACAGCACCAGTTCAGCCAGGAGAGGGAGCACCTGAGGATGCAGCTGGAGGAGCTGCAGACGGAGCATCAGAGGCGACAGCACCGTCTGCAGGAGGCCCACCGCTGCGCCATGCAGGACATGGAGCACGCCAGGCAACGTGATTTGAAGGTAACATTAAAGTGACCCAAAAATGCTGCTATAGAGCTTTTTTGTCAAAGGTTCATTTGGTTGGTTGCAGCTTTCCTAGTGGCGTCTTTGTGGTTCCCATTTGCTGTGGGATTCCCAAGTACTTGTAGCTGTCCTCAATTTCTGCAATATGGCCTTCTGGTAGTGCAATCCCCTTAGTTCTGACTACCTTGCCTCTCTTTGTTACCATCCGACCACACTTCCCCAGATCGACTGACATTCCAGTGTTGTTGCTGTAGATCCTCGTGGTGTGGATCAGTGAATCAGTGTCTCATTCACTCCTACATCTCATCCATGTAGAGGAGGTGGATGATGATGGCTCCATTCTGTAGCTGGTATCCGTAGCCAGTCTTGTCAGTGAGGTTCAGGCCTGTGCAGAACAGCAGTGGGGACAAAGCATCTCCTTGGTAGATCCTGCAGTTGATGGTGTCTTGTGCTATAGGCTTAAACTTGGCGTGACGCGGTGTTATTCGCCATATCCCCATTCAGTTCCTATCTATATCTATATCATCGATAGATAGGTCAAAAACAGAATAGAGAAGACATACATTTTGTGTGACTTTATCGGTCTCTCCCATTGATGTGGAAGAACTTTGGTCCATTCTTCTTTCCAAGAAGTTTATAGGTATTGAGGTTTACACGCTTTCATTTATACACAGCTCTTTTAAGGTCCCACCGCTGCAGGTTGAGCTCCCACACTTTGACCTGGCCATTGAAAACCTTGATTCCTTTACTTTTTTAGCCAATCTGTTATAGATTTTCTGCTGTGCTTGAATTGTCCTGTTGCATGAGTTTGGGCCAAGCTTGAGCTGTCACACAGGTAGCGTATACAGAGTTGTCTCAGTCAATGCTAAGTGTCCAAGTCCTGTGGCTGCAAAACAAGCCCATATCATCACCCCACTTTGGTCTGGTCTATCCAAAGCACTGAAGTCTTACAATTTGTTTAAATACAGCTTTCCAAGCTTAAGCCATGCTGCCAAGTTCTTTTTAGAGAGAAGAGGCTCCAAACAGGCCATACTTGTTCAGTCTTTTTCTAATTGTACTGTAGAGTCTGTGATGTAGCTCTTGGGTTTTTTGCTGTTTCTCTGACATTGGGGTGAATTTAGCACTGATTGAACAATTGTGGCATTTTGTTTACACAGCACCTGAAGCTCCAGTACAGCAAGGAGCAACATTTTCTGCTTTTAGAGATTTTCACACTTGCTGATAATCAATTTATCAAGTGCCTCTGATTAGCCGCTACTGGCTACTACTTGCCATCTTTATTTTTTACAAAAGCAGTAAGAGTGTACTTAAGTTTTTAACAAGTACATAGAGTCCTCTGAAAACATTCTTTTTCTATGCCTGAAAGTTTTATCGATGGAAAGGAAATAAATCTAAAAATGTGTCATGAAGCAGTCTGACTGGCAAGATTTATACTGCAACACAGACTCGGGCCAAATCAGTACCATGAGCAGTAGACTGATCAGCCCAATAGACACATTTTGTTCATTGCAAATTACATGAAAATAATAGTTTATGTCCTATTTCAATCTTTTTGGATGGACAAGCTGCTAGACCTGCCACATTACAATCCCTTTGCACAACCCTGTGAAGACAAAGAGACCAATGATAACACACTGCAGAGCAAATAACTTTTAATCGCTGCTGTTGTGTTTGCTGTTTGAAAGCTGAATTTGAAATTGATTTTGCTCCTGACAGAGAGTCTTTCCAGCTCAAATAGATCAATAGGCCTGCAGACAAATACAGAACTTAATACAAAATGTTGTTGGGAAGCGTGTACTGCTCTCGCTAATCAAAACAAAGGATGTGGGTGACATACGGAGAAATAAAACAGTAATTATAATAATACATCTCAGCGACCCTCGGGACCCCTACGTCTCTCTGCTCTGCATGGAGCATCAATCAGCAGTCATCAGTGAACACTGTCCTCTGCACTCAGTGTTCCCCAATCACCGAATACAGTGCATTATTATTTCTATTTAGTTCAAAAAGTGTGTTTTCTAAGACCACTGGGCCTTCTTCAGTTCTGAATTAGTTGGTTTATTATCTGGTTTATTAGCTCTAAGTGCTAAACCTTTAACCTAAATCTAAGCCTAAATTTAAACTTAATTCTAACTTTTACCCTAACTCAAACAGACTAACACAAGGGTGCTAAAAAGTGAGAGCTGATCAAGATGTTCTACATGTTTTCATTTATCTGTCTTTGTTTTCCTGTGGCAGATGACTTTAGTGACTCAGTCATGTTCTTTGGATGAGTAATTCTCAACAAAACAGCAAATAACAATCTGCCCATTCTCCACAGCCACATTTTAATAGGACTGTTACACACACACATGTTCAGTGAGTGCATCCCTTCAGCTCACCACTTTATAAAAGAGTCGTTTTATGATTGCCTCTGTGTGACACCTCTCAATTATAGCTACAAAACTATCTAGGTTTATGTAGATTTCACTATGCCAGACAGGGTATTGCAAAAAGAAAAAAAGAATGGTGACATAGACAAGAGACCGAGGATGCAACACCATCAATCTCTGGGTGATCACTTTGCACAGGTCACGTGGTAGGATAGCTCTAAACAGTCATGTCAGACCCAGACTGAATGGC